TTTTTTTGCCGGAACGCTAAAATTTAAAAACCGGTTCTAAAACCGGTTTTCATGTTTTTTCCAGTTCCGTTCGAAAAGGAAAGAAACAAAAAATTATTACAAAACCCATTTTGTGCACATATTATATGTATGTTTATTACAATAATAACATTTAATAAAAATTAGTTGAATAATAACGTATAAAATTTACTTATTAAATCATTTTCTGTATGTAGCGATGTTTTTATATTTTTTCTTGCCGGAACGCGTTCCGGCTCAAAAATGATTTGTTGGAACGACGTTCCGGCGCGTTCCGGCTCGACAACACCACTGGTTTAGACTACTGGAGCACTTTTCCAATTTTGTGAAAACTATTGAAAAATGTGAAAATGCCGCCAAGCTAAGCACAGTATAAGTGAAAATGTCGCACAGAATTATTTGCAAATGCGTTTAGACTGTGACTATACAGGAGCACTTTTTCAATGTTGTGTAAATTAGGCAACAATTTCAATTTTTTTGAAATTGAATTCGAAATAAAATGACGATTGTTAATGTTCTGGAGATAAATCGATTTATGATTTACATTTGATTTGCTCAGATATAAAAAGATAGCAAAAATAATGAAAGTTACAGTATTTGTAATAATATATTTGAAAACGTTTAAAATTTCTCGAATATTTTATTACGGTACGGAAAGTTCCAGCAATTTTCCTTAAGGCAAGATGCCATACACCACTAGTTTATATATGGCTTGCGTTGCAGTGGGAAAACCATCCATTTAATATGTGATACCTGCCCCTTTCACTAATGAACCACATACTTGTACGTTCACGATCAGTTAGTTATTTTTCATACTAAAAATTTTCTAGAAATATTTTTTATGGCTAAACAACGTTCGCCGGGCCAGCTAGTATATATATATATATATATATATATATATATATATATATGGGGTCCTTAAAATGGTCATTTTCGAATTTTCTTGCTCCCAGAGGCTCAAATGGTTCCAAATAGATAAAAAACCATTCTCTGAAAGTTTCAGCTCTTAATATTAACGTTTAGATAGAGCGCAATTCAATCAAAGTTTTGTATGGAAATAACATGGAAAAATTTTCAAAAATTAAAAAAATATTTTTTAGATGTAATTTAGCAAGTAAATAAATGAATAAAACTCATTTATTTGTCGCTAAGTTATACCTAAAACATTTTTTTTTAAATTTTCAAAAATTTTTCCATGCTCTTTCCATACGAAGTTTGATTGAATTGAATTGCGCTCTATCTGAACGTTAATATTAAGAGCTAAAACTCTCAGAGAATTGTTTTTTATCTATTTGGAACCATTTGAGCCTCTGGGAGCAAGGAAATTCGAAAATGACCATTTTAAGGACCACCCCAATATATATATATATATATATATATATATATATATATATAAATTTTTCCATCACTTTCCAAGTTCATGCAGATTATTTTTCAAGGTTTCATTAAAATGTGCTCATGAAGATAAACACAACAAATTTGTAACAGGAAACTCAAATCGTCGCGAACGGGATGTAAACGTTTGCTATTAGTCTACTTTGAAATTAAAGACAAAGTTTTTCTCTCTAAAGAAACAACAAAATTATATTCACTAATTAATGTCATCAACAAGTTCAGTATCAGAAACATTTAATTCTATTCTTAGAAAAAATGCATTTCTATCCTACTTATATCGTCC